TATCAAGGCTAAAATAGATATGTTGTTATCTCTGGTAACTCTTAATGGACTTTTGCTGACATCAGGACTGAAATGACAAGGTTTAATGGATTTGTTTATAGATAAGAGATGGGATATGGGAAGAACAGATCATTTGTTGTATTTTTTAAAATAAATTTTATTTTATTTTATTTTATCCCATCTTTCTTATTTTATAAATAATAAGGGGGCAAACATATCTGTTACTCTTTCCTCCTCCTATTTTCCCCACAACAACAACCCTGTGAGGTGAGTTGGGCTGAGAGAGAACGACTGGCCCAAAGTCCGCCATCCGTCTTTCATGCCCAAGGCAGGACTAGAAGTCACATATCCTGGTTTCCAGCCTAGTGCCTTAACCCCTAGACCAAACTGGCTCTCTCTTTAAAATTTTAAAAGAAGGTGATAAGTTACTAAAATTGTTTTTACTTGTGATGAAGGTGAGAAGATTCTTTATATGTCTCTTTTTCTTTATTCTTTTTTCCTTTTCTATTTCCCTTTCTATTTTTTCCTTTTCTTTTTTTTTCTTTTCCACACTTTTTCCTTTTTCCTTTTTTTTTTAGGTTTTTTTAAAGTTTCTATTAGTTTTTATTGTTGTAATTATAATTCTTAATAACATTACTGTTAAAAAAAAAAACCCTACTATGTGACCTTGGTGAGCAACCCAAAGTGGCTATTCTACACATTTATTTATATTTTGCAAATTCAACCTTGCAGTGATTCTCAGTGCAGATCAACAGTCATGATTTTCTATTCTAGTTCATTTTGTCACCAGCCTTTCTACTGAGGCATTTAGTAAAAATGTCATGATTTTCAGAGTGTTGATTGCAAATACTAGGAAGACTGAAAAACTGCTAACTCGCTTTTCTTAAAGCATTCTACCAAACATCAGTGGAAGAACAACCAGAAATCCTTCATAGCATATAATTAACAATTTGAAAATTTAAATAAGTTAAAATTACAAGGGTGTTAGGAAAAGCCACACACATAAACACCCACAAATAGCTTTACAATGAATTCTTAATACTGTAGATTTCAGATAATCTCTTAAGATAAAAAAGGTTATGTGAGAGATGTAGAACTATATTATTCAGGTTCAAAGGTGTCATTAGGAATTTCACTTGTCTCTTAATGAGCAAGAAATATTGTATAAGCATAAATACTGCAGCAGTGCACGCAATACTGGTGCGATCCAAGGCGCTGATAATCACCTTTAAAGTCCTACATGGCCAAGGACAGTGACTTGCAGGATCATCTGTCTCCAGGTGTTTCTGTTCATCCCACCAGATCTGGCAGGGTGGCCACGCTCCAGGGCCCCTCAGTGAAACAGTGCCATCTTATGGCATCCAGGAGAGATGTCTTCTCTCTTGAAGCATCTGCCCTGTGAAGCTGCCTGCCCCTGGAGATTGTGACAGCCTGATCGTGTTGGCCTTCCAGAAGACTGTAAAAACCTGGCTTTTCCCACAGGCATTAAGGCTGGGTTCTTAATGGAACCTAATATAGGTGAATGTGTGATTGAGGATGAAGTGATAATGCAATTTGGAGAATGGCAGGCGCAACCTTTTCGCTATGCTTTGGAAGGCCTCAGTTGTTTTCTGAAGGCCTTCTGAAGTATTGTGAGAATGGTGCGTGCTATTTGGCGAACGGTGCGTACAGCCTCGGGAAGAAGGCCTGGCACAGCCAGCAGCTGCCTCATATAGGGCCAGGCTGGGCGCACTTTGTCAGCATGGGAGGCAGACAGTGAAGGTCAGCGGGGCCTGGCAGGGCCTACAGAGCGCAGGACGGCGGAGGTGGATGGGACTTTGCACTGGGGTGTAGGGGTGGCTGGCCACAGGGCTTGCAGCAGTCCTCAGTGGCGTCGCCAGTGGCACTAGGGCTAAAGTAGAGGCCCAGGGGTGGTGGTGGCCGGCTGAGACTGCTGAAGGCTCTGGGCCTCTACTTCATCCCCAGTGCTGCTGGCACTGCCAAGGAATGCCACTGTGCAAGGCAGCCAAAAGGACAGATATGGTGGAGGGGGGGGAGAGATAGGCGGGTGGGGGGAGTGGAAGTGCATCCTGCAGTTGTAAGTGCAGGTGGGCTGCCAGGCGCCCAAATTTTGATCACATGACTGCTGCAATGGCTGTAACTTGGGGGCTGGGCATAAGTACCATTTCTTCAGCTCTGCTGTAACTGAACAGTCACTGAATGAATGGCTGTTAAGCAAGGGCTACTTGTATTGAAAACAATATAACATGATGAAACTACTTTTTATTTTAAGTAATATATGTTAGCAGTAGATAGGGATGTAAAAACATTCTGTCTGAATGTGCCTGGAATCTGTTTCTAATCAGTGAACTGGAACTAATACCATTCCCAGTAGGATATTAGATCATTCATGCATTTTTTATTTTAATTCCTTTTCCTTCTGCCCTGTTCTTTTCCAAAGATGGGACTGCTGCTGATGTAACATCTCTGGGGTAACTTGATTCTCTCACTGGCTATTTACACGACTGTTTTTTCCTATTTATACTTGCTGTAAAGAAGTATAAATATTCCCAACCATGGTGACAGGCATATTCATAGTCACACACACATCCGTACATCACACACCGGAGTCTTCAATTATGTGACTCTGAATTTGTCAAGCATAAGATGCTTAACATCATACCTAATCATTTTTTATTCAGTTATCTTTGAATAAGCCATCCTGTCTCACGATTTATAGGTAAAATTGTGCAGGTCTTGCTGAGCTATGGCTATAATATATTCTTAGTGAAATGAGCGGAAACATCATTACATTTTTCTTTTCCTAAAGACACTGAGAAGATGTATGTATGTGATGTAGGGAACAATAAAAGAGATTCTTGGGATTTCAGATGTTTCCTTTCCATCTTTTATTAGATAAATTTATATACTTAATTAAATTATGTCTCCTTAAATAGAAATGGGCAAGCTCTTCCTAATGTTACCTCCCCAAAAATGAGTACCGTACATCATTTTTTAAAGTAAAAGTTCACAAACCCCACTTAATACCCAGGGGTGAAGGGGATAGGGAGGACATGCAGCTTTCCAGATGTTCTTCCTCCTTACTCTCATCATCTCCATGAATTATGCCCAGCATAGCAAATTACAGAAATGTATATGCATCCATTCAGACAGGATGAGTTGCCCTGTACAGGAGTATATTTTCTACAACTACAAATGGCAGCACTTTATTCATTTTATTTATGAAAATGCATATTGTAACACAATTCTGATTATTTTGCAGAACTATTATGGCTGAATTTCTTTTCCCATTTCAGTTTCAGAAAAATAATTACGATCTTCAAGCAACCAAGAATAAATTAGCAGAGGCTGCCAATTATGTAGATAAAGTAAGACCAGATATATGTTTTACAAGAAAACCTATATCTTTTAAAATAACAAATCAGGAAAAGCTATGGATTTAACTGCCTGTTTCATGTAATATCCCACATTTTCCAAAAAGAAAAACAGAAACAAATGCATAGAAGAAAGTAACTTGGAGTAAAGATAAGGTTGTGGGAGAGTTGCATTTTAATTTATTCTATTAAAGGAAAAAAAATACAACTATAAAACAATCTATATGTATCTTCTAAAAGTATATATTCTTTTGATGCGAAAAGGAAAATTAAAGAGGAAAAAAGAGAAATAGAAAAAAAGAAGAAAAATACAACTATATGAAAGAAAAAGTTGCATTACCCAGAAAATACATCTATTCCCCGATTACATCTCCCCATCCCATCAGATCTGGCAGAGGAGGCATGCTGTGGATCCTATCTGCTAGAGAATTACATCTGGTGGGTCCCAGGAGGCGGGCCTTCTCTGCTGTGGCGCCCGCCTTGTGGAATTTTCTCTCCCCGGAAGTGAGATTAGCTCCATCCCTCTTAACATTCTGTAAGTCCCTCAAGACCTGGTTATGT